GAAGGAAGTAAGGTTACCGCTGAAATTTCCGGTACTAACTTCTTCGTAGGCATCAACGATGGAGAGAAGGATCAGTTAAAGGACAAGATTGGCAGACGATGGAGTTCGTTGGAAAATTTGGGAAGGAAGGTGGAAAATGTCGAAGAGAATTCCTGTGGAAGCGGGATGGAAGATTTGTCGATTGAAAGGCCAGTTCGAGGTAAAGAAAAGAGGACGATCGGATCTCTCAGGTCTTCGCTGGAGAGAAAGATGGGCTCTGTGGAAAGGATTCTGGAGGATCAGATGGAGAAAATGTGGGAGCAGAACTTGGAGAAGCATTCGTGGTTGTTGCCCATAGAAAGTTGGATTAATGAGCGTTGTAGATCCTCCTCTGGAACGCGTCCCGTTGTTCAAGATGGGAAGAATAGCGGTTTGGAATTGGAGGACGGTGAGAAACAACCATCCGAACGGAATTACGATTTTAAATTTACCAGATCTGAGGAGAAGGACGAGGAGGGAAGAATAGAGATTAAATTGGACCATTTGAAGAAGCCGGAATTTGACGGTGCGAATTTGATTTCGAAGTTGAAGAAGTCTCTCCCTTCTGAACAGTCGAAGATAGGGAATCAAGAAGTTTTGGTCATGAAGGACGTGAAGCATCATGATCTGTTCGATAAGCTGAAGGACAACGTTAAAGAGAAAATGGAGGATATTCATAGGGTAGATTGAAATGTTTTCTTTTTTTTTTTTTCTTTCGTTTATTTAATTATATTAAATATACTCTGTATCATAGATTTTTGATTCGTAACCCAAAAACACGTGATTTATCTTTGAAAAAAAATTAATTACTTTTTTTTTTATTCTATGTTATCCAATGTACCTCATACAGAGGTGGGGATAGCTCAGTCGGTAGAGCATCAGACTCTTAATCTTGAGGGTCCAGGGTTCGAGTCCCTGTTCAGGCGAAAAAAAAAAGACGTTGTCCTTTAGGACAAACAGCACGGGAGAGCTTTCTGTGTGTTGTATAAAAAGGTCCCGGAGCTCTCCCAACGTGTGGAGGACGGCCATTGTGCAGGTTTTAGTCGGTGAAAATCCGACACTACCTGGGAGTCTTCCCTTAAAAGACTCAGGTGTCTTATGAAGATTTCCTCCACGTAAAAAAAAAATGTGCCTCATACACCAAATGTAATAAGATGAAGATAAAATTGAATTTGTACTGAAAGATTGCGCTTATCGCTACTAGATAATGATTCATGTTTGCGAATTTGACAAGGATAAACAGTTAGTTACATTTAAAATCACTTAATCTGGTTCCTCATTTTTTCTCCTCTTGTATTTCAATTACTATTGCAAGCTTCGTATGAATTTCTCGCTTTGTTCAATATTTACAAAAAGATTAGGAACAAATATCGAAGTTGAACACATAGAATCGCGAGTAAACCTTGACTAGTTCCTTATGGAGTCGAGTTCTATTGAACAAATAAATCGGGAACTAATATCGGGGCTGACATTTTGTTTTCCCCGATACAAATGCTCCGTCTAGGATCCTGTGAAATTATTGTCTTCCCATGGTGAAACTGTACTTTTCTGCCCCCTATTTTTCCCCACTTGTATTTTATTTCACTTTTTGTCGTACTTTCCTTCGACAGAGAATTCGATCACGTATTTTTATGTTTGCAGTATTTTCAAAGGACCAATCGATTGGCAGACGTAAATAGGCGACTGAAGTCGCAGATATGGAGCTCCGTGGTAACGATTGTTCTTGTAGAGGCGAAGAATCTATTACCGATGGATATAGACGGTCTTTCGGATCCTTATGTCAAGTTTCGGTATGAATATCCTTATTCTGCTCCCTTTTGTCTTCAGCGTTCTATTTGTTATTGAAATTACTGTTTGTTCATATCACTCACGATGAGATATCTCTATTTGCCACGTTTGCTTTACTATGGAATATTTTTATAACTAAAACGAGTCAACGTCCATTGTCCATTAAATCATCCATACTTTGATAAAATATTTTAAGATACATTTGTAATTTTATCTGTCATTTATTTTATTTTCAGCCTCGGTACGGAGAAGTACAAGTCAAAAGTGGTGCACAAAACCTTGAATCCCGTTTGGTTGGAGCAGTTCGATCTCCATCTGTACGAAGATCCTTATTTAGGCCAGGAGTTGGAGGTCACAGTCTGGGATCGCGATAAAAGCCACCAGGATGACCTAATGGGAAGAACGGTGATCGATTTGGCGACACTTGAACGCGAGACGACCCATCGACTCTGGCGAGACCTCGAGGACGGCTCTGGGAACATATTTTTGCTGCTGACTATTAGCGGCACGACCGCCAGTGAAACGATCAGCGATTTAGCCGCTCATGAGGAAACACCTCGTGAACGTGAGCAATTGTATCAGAGATACGCGTTGGCTAACTCGTTGCAAAGGGTGCGGGACGTCGGGCATTTAACAGTGAAGGTATATTGAAAAAGTGGAGAACTTAAATTTAAAAATAGAAAGTAAATGATTTTTCAGAAAGGGTCTAATCTTTTCTTTTTTTTCCAATGTTATTTTTATCATCCTAACAATGTAATAATAAGCAGAAAGTTTTACAGTTGCTCCTCATCACTTTCGATTTTTAGAATGTACAATGTATTTTTATTGTTACGCAGGTATTCAGAGCACAAGGTCTGGCGGCAGCCGATTTGGGTGGCAAGAGCGATCCTTTCTGCGTCTTGGAATTGGTAAACTCAAGATTGCAAACCCAGACGGAATATAAAACGCTGGCGCCATGTTGGCAAAAAATATTCACTTTGTAAGTGATCATGATTACGCAATATGTTAGTTTAAGAACATATGAAATATATAATTTAACAGTATAAATCTTTATTTACATTTTATAGTAACGTGAAGGATATCAATTCGGTGTTAGAGGTAACGGTGTACGACGAGGACAGGGACCATAAAGTAGAGTTTCTCGGGAAAGTTGCTATACCTCTTCTGAGGATAAAGAACGGTGAAAAACGATGGTACGCGTTAAAGGACAAAAAGCTGAGGGGTCGAGCCAAGGGGAATTCCCCTCAAATTCTCCTGGAGATGACCGTAATGTGGAACGTTATCAGAGCCTGTATGCGAACGTTAAATCCCAAAGAGAAGAAATACATGGAACCCGAGATAAAGTTCAAAAGACAGGTGTTCCTACGTAACGTTCTCAGATTAAAGGCAATCATCGTTATCGTGATTGATATTGGAAAATACATGCAGTACGTATACTACTTTGATTCTGATCTTCAATTTGTCTCGAGAATATAATCAAAAACATTTGTTACGTAAATTGCATTCGTCATTATAAATTAAATACTATTCGTGACTTGTCAAGGCGATTAATAATTACTGCGATTCCTGAAACATCACATTATTCATAATTTCTTATATCCATAATTAAAAAAATTATTTAATGTGTAATG